CCCATGTTGATTTTAGTAGACTTCTAATTTCTTTTCTCTCCTTTTCTTTTTAAGTAAAAGATTCAATCATTCACAGAACAAAAAGCAAATGGAGCCACATTTCATATTGCCATATATTTCCTTTCATTTTTAAATGGTATCGATTTAAATGTAGATTTCTCTCATGTAGAGCTTGGAAGGAAAGGCTTTCAATTTAAATGTTAATATTGATTTTAGTAGACTTCTAATTTCTTTTCTCTCCTTTTCTTTTTAAGTAAAAGATTCAATCATTCACAGAACAAAAAGCAAATGGAGCCACATTTCATATTGCCATATATTTCCTTTCATTTTTAAATGGTATCGATTTAAATGTAGATTTCTCTCATGTAGAGCTTGGAAGGAAAGGCTTTCAATTTAAATGTTAATAGAAGAGTAAACTTAAAAATAATAAAAAAATATATTAAAAATTCTCAGTATGAAAGATCTCTTTCTTGCTGAAGTTAATATCTTTCTGAAGTGCTTCTGCTTTCCTCATACTTCCACTGATGACGTGTCCTATGCTAAATGATCTTAAAATAAAATAAAATAAGACTATACCTTTGGAAATGCTTACATTAAAGTGTTTAATGCAGTTATAATGCAGCTTTGAGTAAAGGCCTGAGGTGCTGGAAACTTAGAGATCTTATACATCTATCTAGCTGGTTCCTTAATGGCCCATTCATCAAAATAATTATTCTGAGAGCTTTTTAAGTCGGATGTTATAATGTTCTGGTAGGAGGAAGGCTAGATAGAGAATATGGGCCTTCAAAATATTCTGTCAATTAAATGCTAACAGAGACATTTGAGTGGTTGTCAATTTAGATCAGGTTTCGCCAAAATATAGAGTAAGATCTACTGGCAATTGTTGAATAATTTTTTGGTCGATTGAGAAATATTTATGGCTATTGTTTGTTTCATAATAAGAAGACACGCCTGAATTAGGTGATGTAGCAGAGAGCTGTATTAATCTGTTGTAACAATTTATATCAGCAATAGTAACCTAACACTTGTAAGACTAACTAGTTTTTTTCCCTTACATTTTCATAATTTTTTTTGTCCTTCTTTGACTCTGTGGATCCCTGTTTTGACCCTGCATTGTGCATTGTCAGTATTGGTACAGTGGTGCCTCGCTTAACGAGCGTACCGTATAACAATGAATTCGCATAGCGATCCGTTTTTTGGAATCGCTAATGCGAAGGCATACCGACGGTCGCAGTGGGCAAAACTTGGCAGTAGAAGCATTACATTGTTTTACTTCTGTGCCTGTTTTAATCTAACAATCTGTTTAATAGTGCTTTAATATTACAAGATAATGGCTGAAGTCTGGAAAGAAAATGTAACTAGAGGAGCCTCACTAAATCAGTGTTGATTTGGGGAGACAACTTTTCCATATGTTAGATGGATTCAGTGGGTCTGCTCCAGTTGTAACTTACTGTATTTGTCGGCGTATAAGACGACTGGGCATATAAGACGACCCCAACATTTCCACTCAAAATATAAAGTTTGCTTTAAAATCATATAATGACTTGGGTCTCAGTATTGGGAGAAAAGCAGTATGGGGGGGGGATTAAGTACTGTGGGAGAAAAGATGGAAAGATGGATAGTACATTTCCTACCCCACCCCTCAGTTCAAGTTCCCATTTGAAACACACCATTTGGGTGCTAAGCACATGACCCAGTTTGGGCAGAATGCTCCACCCCTGTATCTCTATGGGATGGTGCTCCATCTGTCTTCATCTGGAGACAAGAGGTGCTGACTAGACTGCATTGGGACTGGGATTTCTGGAATTAAGAAGAGACCCAGCAGATTTTCTCCAGTTCTGCAATAAAACTTTAGCAGAGGCTGACCTCCTTCTTCCTAAATATCCGCAAGAGGGCTGATTCAGCACACTCCAGTGTAGTACCTATACGCAGTTCCCATTGAAAGGACGGCTCAAAATAGACTTCTCTTTTATGCTGACATTTCTATGCAGCTTCTTCTGAGAGGAGAGAAATGCCGAGAGTCATGGAACTCTAGGACTGGCGCTCCTAGAAAGGAGGGAAAAATGAAAGCTGTGCTGGCTGAGGCATTCTAGGATGGTTAGTCGAAATCAGTCAGTCAGGCCAAACTCTGGGAAGGCCAGCCAGATACGTCGTATCAGAGGGAGTGATCAATTTAGACTAGTGGTTCTTAACCTTGGGTTACTCAGGTGTTTTTGAACTACAACTCCCAGAAATCCCAGCCAGCACAGCTGGTGGTGAAGGCTTCTGAGAGTTGCAGTCCAAAAACACCTGAGTAACCCAAGGTTAAGAACCACAGATTTAGACAACCTTTTAAAAAAAATTATGTCACACTTCTGCTATTCGTGATTGGTGTGCTTGGCTGCAGTTATCTCAGGAATGGATGATGACGACGACGATGACAACAACAACAACAACAACAACAACAGTTACAAAAAATGGCAATATTAGGAACAGCATACATATTGCACTGATATTTAACTTAGTTTTTTTGTTAAAATTTGTATTACTTATATCAGTGTTCCCCTTTTTGGGACTGCAAACTGGCTGAGTCTCTGAGGAAGGCGTGGCACTACCCCCGTGCGCTTGCACGGGTGCGGGTGCTCTCAGGCGCATGCACGCGCTGTCTCAGGCACATGTGCGAAGCAGTGGGGCAGCGCGGCCTGCCCAGGCACATGTGCGAAGCAGTGGGGGAGCGCAGCCTGCCCGCTAGCACCAGCCTGAGCACTCCCCCACCCCTTCATGCATGCACAGGAGCACCTGCGCACGCCTCCACCCCTTCACGCGGGCACGTGGGCGCTCGGCCGCATGCGTGAACAGGTTGGGGAGCACTCATGCTGCCACTGGCATGTGTGTGCATGCGCAAAGCAGTTGTGGGGAGGGGAGTGCATGCGGGGGGTGGGAGGTCTGTCTCCATGGCCCTGTCTGGCTCAGGCCATGGACCGGCACTGGGCCACGGTCCAGGGGTTGATGACCTCTGTGTTATATGATACCAGTCAATGTGTTTTAATAATTTTGATTGACTGTGCCTCGTGTTTAAGAAGAAGAAGAAGAAGAAGAAGAAGAAGAAGAAGAAGAAGAAGAAGAAGAAGAAGAAGAAGAAGAAGAACAACAACAACAACAACAACAACAACAACAACAACAACAGGAGCAACAACAACGCATGCGCAGGCACACACACATACATACTATGCTGGTATTTAGCAGATACTTAGATTTTTTTTGTTAAACTTGTATGTGTTATATAATAACAGTCAATACTTTTATAATTTTGATTGACTGTGCCTGGTGGGTTTTTAAATTGTGCAATGCTCTGATATGAGTAAAGATGTCGTAAAGAAATGTTCAAGAGCCATGGATACTAAATCCTCCAGATTAAAATCCTTGCAAATCTCAAGGCTTTATGTGATATTTACCACTCGATCAGAAAGACCAGTGCTGTCGATGTGATAAACACACGGCGAGGAACCTGTCTCCGAGGGGAACTAGGGCAGCATATGTTCATAAAAGTGGTTGATGAAGTGGGCAGGGGATCTTCATCTGTTATTCAAAACCACCAGGCACAGTCAAAATTATAAAAAAACATTGACTGGTATTATATCACAGATACAAGTTTTAACCAAAAACCTAAATATCTGTTAAATATCAACACGGTATATATGCTGTTCCTAATATTGCCATTTTTTGTGATGGTGTGATTTCTGAGATCTGCAACTGTTTACAGTACTGTGTGAAATTTCTTGATATGGTCTCAAAGCCCCAATGACTATGGGAACCACCAAAGTGTCTTTCATCCAGAGGCAAGATGTTTCGATTGTCAGATCTCTGTAGTTTGTTATTTCTCCAGGTCTTTATTGTCATCCCCTGGAATTGCAATGTCAATGTTCTGGACATTTCTTTGTTCTATTACTACTATGTCTGGTGTGTCTGTTGTTGCTGCTGCTTGTTGTTGTTGTTGTTGTTCCACCATCAAGTAAATTCTGACTGATGCTGACTCCTTTAGGGCTATTTAGGTATAAAATATTCAGAAGTTGTTTATGATTCCTTTCTGGGACTATAATCATTTGCACAAGGCTACAGAGGGAGACCTTTCGCTCAGGAGGCATAGTATGGAATGGTACTCCCAGCCTCTACCGAACTCACTGGGCTTTCCAGCCAGCTAAGAAATGAATGGTTCCAAATATCTTCAGATTTCTTCTCTCCTGCATCCATTCCTGCATTTGCAAATGATAAAAAAAGGTGTCATCAAATTTTGAGATGTGGGAAATTTAAAAGGAGACCAGGAATAAAATGTTAACAGTAGATGCTAACCAGCTAACACAGTGTGGACTGTGATCAGTATAGATCTGCTGCCATGCAAGGTAAAGATCGAGGGTGAAGTGCAGCCCATAAGCTGTGTATGCCCTCCTCTAGGCCCAGATGCCTTTCAGTCCTAGCACCTGACTTTTCCTAGTTTGTTCTTAATTAAACTTTTTAAACTTTAACTCTTGTGCTCTCCAGGCACTGTGTGTGGCTGTTTCTCTGTATTTTAGGGTCCACTAACATCCACCCATGCCCTCCCCTGGAGTTTTTCCAGAAAAAGAAAAGCTTCTTAGGGGAAATGATTTTTGTGAGGGGGGGGCAGGAGATTGAGTTTGGCCCTCCAACTCCCAGGGATGAGCATGTATGCCCCCCAAGAAGTTGCCCGATTCTGATCTAACTAATGTAATTAAAGATCATTATTTGTGTGCCTCTTACAATGCTTATTGCTGAAGACTAAGAAGAGGTGCCTAAGGCATGAAATCAATAACGTTGATGACTACAGAGGGGAAAAAAAAGTATGTTTGTGTTTGTGGCCCTTTAGAAACAAAGCAACCAATCTTTGTAAATATTAGGATAATATTTGTGAGATAAACATTTTTGCTCTTCTGCAAAGCACTCAATGTGTCAACCAGCAAGACCAACAGGATGATATTAACAGGATTCTTGGTTTCACATTTCAGACCTGCGCAGAATGACAGCTGGTTTCATGGGCATGGCTGTAGCCATCATCCTCTTTGGATGGATTATCGGGGTGCTGGGTTGCTGCTGGGATCGAGGCCTTATGCAATATGTGGCAGGACTACTCTTCCTCATGGGAGGTAAGGATAAGTCTCTTCTTCCAGGTTTCCACCACCACTACCCTGTGTACTAAAGCAGTGGTCCCCAACCTTGGGCCTCCAGATGTTCTTGAACTACAACTCCCAGAAGCCTTCACCACCACCTCTGCTGGCCAGGATTTCTGGGAGTTGAAGTCCAAGAACATCTGGAGGCCCAAGGCTGGAGACCACTGTACTAGAGAACATAGCCCAATTGTGAAACTTCAAACTTAAAATCTGGTACAACAAACTGATTTCTGATTTTTACTCATATAGCCCATCTTACTAAAAAAATTTACTCTTTTGGATTAAAACCCTCACGTTTTGGGATACCGTGCCCAGAATCTTAGAGGTGTAATCCACAGTATAACTTTTCTGAGTGTTTGAATAACTTTGACATCTTTGTAAACCTTTCTACACTGTCTACTCATTACATCCATATCATTATACCCATTATCCTCGTACAGTATATAGATGGATTGACTGAAGCTTGACTAAGTCTTGGGAGTCAGTGCACTGAGATATTGAGCCCGGGGCTGCCAGTTCATAAAAGACATGGCTGCAGTGCAAATATAAACTACATTATTGTGAGGGCTTTAAGTTCCTCACGGAATGCTCCAGTTCCTCAGTCTTCTTTGTGTGTGTTCTGTGCCATCAAATCAGAACCAACTTATAGTGGATTAATAGGCTTTCAAGGTAAGTGCAATATTTAAGTGGTTTTACCAATTCCATTCCCCCAGTCAGTTTCCATGCCTGAACAGGGACTTGAACCCTGTTCTCCAGAGTCCTGGTCCATCACTCTATCCACTATATCACTGGGACTCCTCAAGAAAAATATGGATAGTTAGACTAATTCCAAACTGGATTAAGATGGTGTACATATTATACAGTTAGAGGTAATGCAATTCACTCTTGTGCATATGTACTCAGGAGTAAGACCTACTAATTTCAATGCAAATTACTCTAAAGCAACATGCATGATTTACAATCGAACTGGGTTGCAAGGAGACATTTTATGATTTTGTGATGAGGTTTTTTCCTTCTGTTTTTTGTTTTATACAATGAATTGTCTACAATTGTCATCTACCCAAATCTCCCCAGAAATAAGGTATTTGTAAGTAAAACATGGAAGTGATCCTTCTGTGGGCCTGAGAGATTTTATAAAGCTGACTTTATTCTGTCCATATTATTTTTGGGATGAAATCCTCTTATTTAGCTGGCAAAGGCGTAAAACTTTTGGAATTTTGAAGTTCCTGTAGTCATTTTCTGTTGCGTGCTGAGTGATACAATTCTGTATGCAGCAGATAATGTCTACGGAGATTTCTCACTTTGAAGCCATTTGCTTCTAAAAGTTATGCCATTGGTGTTAGCATAAGTAGGCCAAGAGGATTTGAGCCACTGTCAGTGATTTTAATGTAAAACTGTTAACCAGATAAAGATCTTTTAATCAATTAACTGTCAGATTTTCAACCTCCTTCATTAGTTGTGTTTTTCTAAGGCTCCTGACCTCAGAAAATTCTTTGACAACTTATTGAGCAGAGCTTATTGTTTTAAATTATGATTTCATAAACACTCCACCACACACACACAACTACCATGCATATAGGGGGTAAAGTGGGTGTTATCAAGCTTTTTGTAATAGGCTGAGAGCCCCCTTGTGTTACGGTTAGAGTGTCAAAGTAGGACTGAAAAGACTTGAATCCAAATCTCTGTTTGGCCATGGAAATTCACTGACGGGTAGAAGGGGTAACATGACTCCACAGGTATCTCATGTTTGCAAAAACAACTTAATGGCTCATTCTGTGCACACACACTCTTTTAGATACACATCTTTCCCTTCCAACCATAGGGACACGAGGACCCTCTTGATTTTCGTTATTATCCTTGCGAAGCAACAAACACATTCTCGTAAGCTTGAATCTTCTGTTTGCTGATTTTTTTTCAAAGAAAAGAAAGTGGCATCAACTTCCACTATACATGGGAACGTAAGATACATACAGTAGTTTTCTCTGGCAGGGCAAGATTTTCTACAAATTGAGTGCCTGGAATAATTGGTTTCCTTAAGCAAAAATCCATGATTAAAGTTCACAGCCCAAATCAGTCTGTCAGTTTCATCTGGATAAAAAGCTAATGATGGGACATTGCTCCTTAGTATAATTTCCTTCATGGCCACAGGCGAGGCAAGAGGGAACATTGTCTGTGCAAGGACTCAAAAATGCTTCCAATATTTTCAAGGACTCATGAGTAAGACTTACTTATTTGGATTACAAGGCTGGGAATTCTGAAGCTGTAGCCTAAGAAAAGTAACATCTCTAAGCACTAATGAAATTTCAGGCACTGCAGGTATATCTGGTTATATGAGATTTCTCATGGCTTGTTTCCTTCAGTACTTTTCAGAGGTTAGAAGAACCATTTCCTTTAGACTACAGTTCCCATAATCCTCCAGCCAGTGACTTTTCCAAGCCACTTAAGTTTCCCAGTAAAGTGCCAAAGGCCTCTAACCATGAGATATCTTATGACTATGCAGGCAAAGCTGTACCTGCTTTGTATAGCTTCTTTCTCCCATCATAAGTAGGAAAACCAGAATAAGTTATGTAAAATACGAAAAACACAGAATATGTTATGCAAATTGGCTTGCCTTGAATAATACATACAGTCATGGTACTCAGCTGTGACGGATGCTTAGCACAAAATCTAGATTGTCTGGGGATAGAATGAGGATTTATTTTAATCTTTTAGGGTGGAATGGAAAGAGTTGTGTGTTGGATAAGCATAGGCATAGTAGCAGATACCACATTCCCAGTATATCAAACTTGTGGATGCTGCCCTTAGGTTTCTGAGAGTGTTGTCCTTCTTATGTTTCTGCACTTATATTAACACTAGCATGTATTTCTGTAAATGAGTAAGCAAAGAACCTGAAATGATCTATTAGTTTAAATGCTCCTGATAAAGTAATGCCTATAAACTATTTGCCTTGTATCTGAGTTCTTTATAATTGTCTCCGATAACTGTGCCTTGAAAAACCATCATATGTGGATATATGTACAAAACCAAAGGTGGGAGAACTTCTTTCACTTCAAGAGTGAGTTGAATTTCAGAGTGTTCTTCTTCTATTTCTGGGAGAAATCAAAAATATTGGCATAAACTTCTTATTATAACCAGCTAGGTCTCAAGAGAGGAATTTCAACCTTTTACAGTGAGGAAAACCCCACACACAGGTTGGGAAAACCAAACCACCAAATAATGGTACAGTATTTCAGAGTTTCTGAGAGGGCCAGACTGGATTTGACCCTAGGGCTCAAGGCTTTCCCATTCACATTTTAGATTTAAAAAAAATATGGAGAACGTATCTTATTCATAGATCTTAATGATTTATATAGGACTCTTAGATTTACCCAATTTGGAAGACATTTGTTGAGATTACCCAGCTGCTGTGGGTCTATGACTACAGGCTTCAGGCCTAATATCAAACAGAATGGCAGAGTCACTTTGGAAGATGGCAGATGCTAGGAAGCAACAACAGGACATTAGAGATGATTGCTCTCCCTCAAGATTGCAGAGGAACAGTACAAACTCAAGCCCTCACATTGTCCGAGATGTGAAGAAAAACACTGTTGCCACCCCACCCACTCTCATGATGCTACCTGCAGACTCGTGATACTGATGACAGTGGCAACTAGGATGGGTGGCAGGCATAGGGTCTTCTTTCTCCTATCCACCTCCCCATCTTACAGTGCAACTTCCTCCTCCTCATACCACTGTCTCCTCACTTCTTGGTCGGCTTCTCCAAAATGCCTGCCCCTCAGCCTGTGTCCAGGCATTATGCATAGAGTTGGGCAAATATGGATGTGTTGTGAAGTTGGGGTGGTGGGGAGGAGAGGCTGCTAGAAGAGATAGTAGCAGTGGACTCAAGTGGTTAGCTCAGGCTGCAGTGGCTGGGAGATAGTGGCAGCTCTGTCACCTCCCCGGTACTGCATTGCCTGAGGTGGCTGCATCACCTTTGGCTGGTAGCCAAGCAACCCCTGCAATGAAAGGTGTTGTCCCTTCACCAGTGATGGTTTGTGATGACTTATAAGAAGGTGGAGACATTCTTTTCACAAGGTTCCTCTTTGCTCAGAGTGCAGTACACTCTGATAGAACAGAGATTCAGCGTCCAGCCAGATTATATACACGGAATGGAAGGCGTTTCATCCTTTTTTCTTTCAGTTCAGGCAGTCAAATATCTTTGGCTACATGTGTAGCTCAGGAGAACATCACAGCCGGTGTCTGTCACCATCTTTCAGTTCCTCAAAGCTCTTAAGTGAGAAGAACATCATGAGGTACAAGTTAATTTTCACCCCAGAAAGATGCAGCCTACAAACTAACTGTCCAGGCACCAATAAGAAATGTGCACAAATAACGAAAGACAGGGTTGGAGGGCATGTAGAAGGGAAGAGGAAACTTTAAGAACAGAACAAACAAATCAAGCAGCTCTCTAAATTTGTGCTGGGGAACCAATCTCCTTCAGATCTTGTTAGATTACAAGTCCTATTGTACATAGGGAGGCACTGATCTTAAAAATGCAAGGGGGAGTATCACTCATTTTGTTAACCCCATGAGAATTAATTCATTGACTGAACTACTGAACATTGAGCCAACATATACTTGAATCACATTATTTCAATTGGTCTTGTGTAGCTAGAACTACAGTTGTATTCAGGCCTCGGTGTTGTCACTGAACAAATTTAAGTTTTGCCATGTATATGAGAAGAACTATACTGACATAATGTGCTTAAGGCTTTTAGGAGGTATGTGATTTCATATTTGTGGGGCTGGGACCCCTAACTGTATAGAAAACCTATCACCATACAAGTCAAACAGATTAGAAATGTTGTAACTGATAGGTTCCCAAAAGAAAGTGTTAACAAGAAAATTATGATTAAATGGAAGTCTTCCGTGGACATAAATACTTGACTCAGCTCTATTCAATAGCATTGCCAACCATGTGGAAGGAAATATAAAAT